AAGGAAGGGAGAGAGGGAGGGAGGGAGGGAGGGAGGGAACAAATTTACATGAAGATGAGAACATTGGGGAACATACACCACCAATATTTTCCATTAACAGGAACATGCTAACTAGATACTAGAGAAAGACACACTACTGTAAAACCATATACTGTCCATGGGGTACAACCCCTTCCTCCTCCTCTGAAACACATTCTCTCGCCCACTATTGCCAGAGGCACTGAGTCTTATCTTTGGATAAGTTCTGCCCACAAGAATGAGAGGAGATAGTGGACCCCAGAACACCAGGCAACGACCGTCCCTACCGATCCTTGTCCACTCCAGAAGTTACCTGGCTGCAGTTAGTGGCCTCAGCCCCTGGGTCTGATGTCATCCATTTGCCTTTCTCACTGGACTTCTCTCCTTGCACTGGCTCCCACTCCGCCAGGACCTGGTGGGCGGCCATGTGAGAAGGACACAAACAGGCCATGCCCCTTTCTTTCTCCCCCTCTCAATGACTGCAGTGGTGGGTTCCGTGGGGTAGTGGCCTGAGATTTATTCATTATGGGGCCTCTGGCCCAGAGCAGGGCCTGCTACCTAATAGTCACCCCATGAAAGCACAGGGAAAGAAGGCATCCACCACAAGGTCCTGGGGAACCAAGAATTCCACTGTGGCCCATAAATTCTAAGTCCTACAGGATTCTGGAATGGGAGATGGGACAGGCCTTCAAAAGTGGCCACACTTTTAACCCATTATACTGTCAACTGAGCCATGTTTCCCCAACCTGGACACATCTAGAGGGCACCGCCTAGAAACAGACACATCTCCCCATCCAGGAGAGAGTAGGGGCCTGAGCCTGGGGGATGCAGGGGGACAGGGAGGGGATGAGCCAAGAAAGCTGAAGAGGAGAAAGCAGGTGTAAGGGGACAGCAGGCTGGAAACAGAGAGAAAAGGGGACAGACAATGGGGGGTGAGAGGGGAAGAGCGAGGAGAGGGATGCAGATCTAGCTACTGAGGAAAAGTCATGGAGAGAACACTGTCCTCTCCTGAAGTAAAATCACTTCCACCTGACCACGGCACTGAAGGTCGTGGGCAGCACACGCTGGGAATATTTGTTCATTCATTTCACAAATACTTATTTCATATCTGTTTCATGCCAGGCAAGGCCCTGCGATCTTTAGGGACCTTGGCATCTTCCCTTCACATCAGAGTCACAATAGAAAGAGGACTCTCTGACCCCATCGAGCCGGCAATGCCTCGGGATTTTTACCTGTTGGATCTGGCAGCTCCTCATATCGGCCCACACCGTGTGAGGCTCCTCTTGGTGCACCGAATGGGGAAGTTTCTGCATCAGTGCCTCGGAGAGTCCACCGGAAGCCCTGGACAGTGGGAGTCGGTGGCACCCCAGCGTGGAGGCCAAGAGCACACAACACTGAAGCTCCAGACACCCTCAGGAAGACAGGAAGGGACAATCGGCTGGTGAGAGCCTGGATCACCAGGAACCTTCGCCTGGCTCGAAACAGAATTTGCCTTCAGATTGCCTGTGAGATAAAAAAGAGAAATCAAGGTTAACATTGAGATTTGGGGCTTCGGCAACTTGAAGGATGGAGCTGCCATTTACGGAGACTGGGAAGACCCAGGAAGAGCAGCTTGAAAGGTGGTGGGGAACTAGAGTTGGTTGGGTTTCTGTCATATGTAATCAACAGTCCTGACCAGACTGGGCAACATAGTAAGACCCCGTCTCTGGAAATGAAAACTGAAAAATTAGACCAGCATGGTGGTGCACACTTGGAGTCTCAGCTACTCTGGAGGCTGAGGCAGGAGGATTCCTTCAGCCTTCAGTTAGAGGTTAGTGAGCTATGATGGCACCACTGCACTCCAGCCTGGGGGGAAAAAAATAAAGAGTCCTGACTAAATACTTGAGTAGCCAGGGAAGTTTTCACAAAGTAAGTAATATTTGAGGCACATCTTAGTGAACGAGAATTCGATTATTACTGTTAGGGAATTAAGAGAGTGTGGGTGTAGTTAGTTAATGCTTACTGAACCATCGTTGAAATCTCATCTACTGCTCTATCTGGTCTATCTGTACACATATATTCTATATGCTGTCTCGCTGAGCTTTCGCTAGGTTACGCTACAGTAACAAAAGCCCCAAAATCTTAGCAGCTACCTACACAAAGCTTTATTTTTTATTGACGTTTCCTTTTATGGCAGGTTGACTGTGACTCTGCTCTATACAAGCTATTTTATTTGTTAGATGGTGAAAACTGTGATACTTGGAGATTGCTGAATATGGTATTAGTATGTTCATTCATTCACTCATTTAACAAATATTTATTCATTATCTGTTTCATGCCAGGCAACGTCAAGTACTGAGAATACAGTGGTGAATAAAAGAGACAAAATCTCTAATTTCCAGGAGCTAATATTGAAAATAAGATTAAAGACAAACAAAATAATCATAACAACAATGAATATTATATTCATAAATATAGCTGTAAGAGATTTTAGTAAATCTTTTAAATTACAAAAATGTAAAAATCATTAAAACTAAAATGGCCAGGTTTGATGGCTGATGCCTGTAATCCCAACACTTTGGGATGCCAAGGTGGGAGGATCATTTGAGCCCAGGAGTTTGAAACCAGTCTGGGTGCTACAGGAAAACTCTGTCTACAAAGAAATAGAAAATTAGCCAGGTATAGTGGTGCATTCCTGTAGACTCAGCTACTAAGGAGGCTGAGGTAGGAGGATTGCTTCAGCCTGAGAGGTCAAGGCTGTAGACAGCCATGATCATACCACTGCACTCCAGCCCGGGTGACAGAGCGAGACACTGTCTCAAGAAAAAAAAATTATTCGATGTAGTCCTCAAACTATTATGTAGAATACTATTGTTTACATCACATCACATGAGTCCTTTCAATGGCTGAACACTTATTTCAGTGCGATCCAGAAAGCTTTCCTGGGAACTAAGTACACCTAAGAACAATTCAGTATGAAAGAGTTATTGCCTTGACAGGAAGATTGTAAACATTTAAAAAGGCAAATAAATAAATAAAAGAGTGAAAACTGTAGCTCTGTGAGGCTCAAATAACATCTCATTCAAGTCACAATGAACATCTTGCAATCATTATGAACACCATATAATTCACTTAATACATTTTGCCTGAACGTCCAACACATCTGAATGACCAGCACCTGTATGTAGCCAAGAAATTGACAATCATTTATAAATTATCACTTATGACTCCATCTGCTCTACGCACTTATTTTTTAAATGTTATTCATTTATTTACTCTTTTTATTTTTTGTAGAGATGGGATCTCACTATGTTACCCAGGTTGGTCCAGAAACAGAAAAAGACCCACACTAATTTCAGAAATCAGATGACAATACAGTCATTCGATTTATGAAAAAACGTGCCACACGGTGCAGAAGGAAAAGGATGGTCTTTTCAACAAATGGTGCTGGATCAAGCAGACACACCCATGTAGTAAACAGTGATCATAGCCAAGTGGGGTAGCTCATGCCTGTAATCCCAGCACTCTGGGAGGCTGAAGCAGGCAGATTACTTGAGCCCAAGAGTTCGAGACCAACCTGGGAAACATGCTGAACCCCATCTCTACAAAAAATACGAAAATTAGCCAGGCATGGTGGCGCACGCCTACAGTCACAGCTACTCAGGAGGCTGGGGTGGGAGGATCGCTTGAGCCAGGAGGTGGAGGTTGCAGTGAGCTGACATGCTGCCACCACACTCTAGCCTGGGCAATAGAGTGAGGCCCTGTCTGAAAAAAAAAAAAAATGCAAAAACTAAAATAAAATTGCTATAAGGTTAACACAGAAAAATGTGTTCATATTCTTAGGTTAGGCGTTGATTTCTTAAACAGGACACAAAAAGTAGTAACCATAAAGGAAAAGATTGATAAAGTATAATTTCATTAAAATTAAGACTCTCAGGCCGGGTGCAGTGGCTCATGCCTGTAATCCCAACACTTTGGGAGGCCGAGGCAGGTGTATCACTTGAGCCTAGGAATTCCAGACCAGCCTATGCAACGTGGCAAAACCCCATCTCTACTAAAAATACAGAAAAGAGCTGAGTGTGGTAGTGCTCCCCTGGAGGTCCCAGCTACTTCTGGGCTGAGGCAGAAGCATCACCTAAGCCTTGGGAGGTCAATGTAGTGGTAAGCTGAGATTGTGCCACTGCACTCCAGCCTGGGCAACAGAGTGAGAGCCTGTCTCAAAAAGAAAAAAAAAAAAGTTAGAGAATCTCCATTCATGAAAAAACACCATTAAAAGAGTAAAAAGGCAAGTTACAGATTGAAAAAAGGGAAATGCAATACATATATATCCTAGAAAGGATGCATATCCAGAATAAAGTATTACAAATCAACAGAAAAACAAGCAAGTCAATGAAAAGTGGATAAAAAGATTTAATAGGCACTTCACAAAAGAGGGCATAAAAATGGCAATAAAAGATAATCTCAATTAAACCACACTGATACATTACTGCACCCCTACTAGAATGGCAAAATAATTTTTAACTGACAGGCATCAGCAAGGACATGGGGTAACCAGAATATCCCTGCTAAATGGTACAACCACTTTGGGAAAATGTTCAACAATATGTAATACTAAAGTTTTATCATTCATATACATCTGAAACCAACAATGCCACTCCTACAAATAGACCCCAGTCTAGTACTGTTCTATTTCTTGAACTGTGGTGGTTCACGGTAAAAATTACTTTTTTTTTTTTTTTTTTTTTGAGACAGGGTCTCACTCTGCCATCCAGGTCGGAGTGCAATGCCATGATCGTGGCTCACTGCAATCTCAGCCTCCCGGGCTCTGGTGATCCTCCCACCTCAGCCTACCGGGTAGCTGGGACTATAGGCACACAACACCACACACAGCTAACTTTTGTATTTTTAGTAGAGACAGGGTTTTGCCACATTGCCCAGGCTGGTCTGGAAATCCTGGACTCAAGTGATCTACCCAGCTTGGTGTCCCAAAGTGCTGGGATTACAGGTGTGCTCTACTGCGCCCGGACCACCTGTACTTTTAAAATAGTCAACTTCTTCTGTATACTTCAGTACCTTTTCAAAGATTTCTTTGACCAAAGTTCTCAGAAATCTTAAAGCTAGCATTTCAGAATAGAAAAAAATAGCTTCTCCTTCACTGGTGAAATTTTACTAATAAAATTTAAAAACAAAAGAAAGCTACTAACGCACATCAGCTCCGAACAAAGATTAAACACTACCAGCAGATCTTTCTTTAACTTCGTGAAGCACTGAGATTCATTCTTTCGGCAAAGAAAGGATGAACACTGTAACCCAAAGAAAAGATACCAGTTGAGAAAAGACCTCTTTTCGAAAGCAGCTCTAGCAGCAAAAGATGGGAGGAAAGCAAGGAAACCATGCCAAACGTCTTGGTTAACTCTTCGGTGAAAGGACGCCAAATGGGATGATCTAAGAAGCCAGAAAGATAGACAGACAGACACAGGGAAATCACAGCAACTCTTTGCAGTGCAAACACAACCCCACAGTCCATCCTACTGGAAATCCTGCGGTTAATTTGAGGCTTGCCCTGCTAGTCATGAGGTGATTCGGGGATGGCCACAAACGCTCCTCATGTGCATCCTGGACCTGGCACACCTGACTTGCCCATCGCCAGCCTGGAGACACCGCCAGGAGCAGAATCCCGGAGGCCAATAAAGACTCCACTTTGCAAGCACAGGGAACCCATTCTAGCCTCGAAGGTGGGGTCCAGGGTCAGTGTCCTCTACAGGATATAGGGGGACGTGCCCCCGAAGCTGCTCCGTCCCTCCACTGCCTGCGATGCCACAGAACACCCGCCAGCGACTTTCTTCCCCAGCGCGCAGCAGAGGTGGGCTGCGGGCGGCAGCAGCAGGGGAAGAATCGAGCTCAGGGAACTCAGGCCCCGGCCGTGCACGCCCCACACTCACCACCCCTCGCGCTACAAAACTTGCCACCGCCGCGCCTCAACCCAGCTGTGCGCCCGCGAGTCCCGGATTCACCGCCCGCCCAGCCGGGGCGTCCTCACCTCGGAAACGCTGGGTGGACTTCGTGGTAACTTCCCATCCAGAGAGCAGCCGGCAGCCGCGCCTCCGCGCCTCGGCCCAGCTCCTGGCGCAGCAGGTCGCCAGTCCCACGTTCCAAAAGCGCCATGCTCACTCAGAAGCTCAGGCAGCCTCGCGACCCTCACCTACCCCTCCCAGTACCGCCGCGGTCTCAACCGCCAGCCAGCCCTGCGCCCGCGCCAGCCCGCGACTGGCTCCTCAGGATCAGGCTCGGCGGAGTCAGGAGAACCCAAGGCGCAGGCGCGGCGTGGTCTTAAAGGGACCGGGCCGCCTCTACTGCATAACGGTTCCAGCAGGTTAGGGGCCTCGCGGGCCGAGAAAAGGAGTAACCCAGGGGATGGACCGAGTGCAGCGGGGATGGGGAAATCCCTCTTTCCCCTCCGCCTCTCTTTCAAAACACCAGCCCTCCACTCTGCAAATCGCTGATTTTCCCGGCCACTTGAACCGCCCCTGCCAGGTTAAAGAGGCAGGAGACACACCCCCTTGGGGCCCCGAGCGACCCCGCGCTTAGCACTGCAGGCCTCCCGCTGCCGCACCGCCCCCGAGTCTGACTTCCAGGCCCGGGCAGGCAGTGCAAACGCGCAGGCTTCAGAAGGCAGCCCCCAGCTCCCCCGACAGGTGGCCTTAGGTCACTCGCAAAAAAAAAATCCACGTGTCAATGGCACTTGTAGTTATTTTCTAATTTAAATTTATAACAGATTTTGCAGATGGGCTCCCACTGAAATAAACCTTTGAGAAAAAGAAAACCTTTTTTTTCAACAAGGTTAGGAAATACCAAGAAATAGGAAGTAAAGCCATGCCGTCCACCCAGCTAAAAACTTTGAAAACTTGATATTTTATCTAAGGAAAATGTTTGCATAACTTTAGGTCATGCCATTATTTAAAATCAATTTCAATTAACAATTTTATTGCAACTGAATCTATCTTGTGTAAGCAAAGATACATCCCTGATAATCTACCTCTCCCCTCCTATATTCCATCCATCAGCAAGTCCTACTGGTTTTTACTTTCCAAATTTTCCTTGAATGTGTCCTCTTCTGTCTCTTCCATCAGCACCCTAGTCCAGGCTACCTTCACCTGGGGAGTGGGGGTGGAGGGACTACTGACCTAGTCTTCTTGTGGTTTACCCATATCCCCTTTATCGCCTCTCTAATCTCAACACAACTGGCAGAGTGGTTTTTCAAAATATAATGTGACCCTGTCACTTCCCAGCCTAAACCACTTAAACACCTTCCCATTCTCTTAGACGAAACCTACTAACCAAGCCCTGAATGACCAGGAGCCTTGCCCACTTCTTCATCTCTTCTCACTACTCAGACCAATTCCATTCTCCTCTCTCTGCTCCAGACAAACTGGTCTCTTTTATTCCCTATTTACCAGCTTCCTGGCCTCCACAGAGCTTTTTCTCATGCTTTGCTCTGTGCTGGGAAGGTTCTTCTAACCCCCATCCTTCTGAGAACAGCTGTAGTCTCCACCTCTGAAAGGCACCTTCTGACCTCCCTATGGTGGTGCATTACTCCTCTCACATTGCATGAAACTGTGATCGGGTGGTTATTTTGTTGAATTTTTTACTCTCAGCTACGTAAGCCCAGGGATTTGGTTTTGTTTGGCTCATGATTTGTATTTCCACATTTGTTAAATACATATTTGTTCATAAATGAGAATGATAGGCGCTAGAAGTTGAAGTAAATTTGGCATAAAGTCAGAGAAAGGTAAAATGTCACAGTCTGACATTTGGAGTCAGAATGTAGAAACTTCAATTATATTAAAACTGATTTTATATCGTTTTAGGCTGAGTTGTCACAGGATGCTTTGGGTAACCTTTAAAACTGAGTTCTCAAAGAGCCTTGTATAAACACCTGATTAATAATGATAAGCCATGGGATGGCCCACATAAAACTAATAACATTGGTTGCTTCAAGAGAAGAAGACCGAGTCAGGCACAATGGCTCATGCTGTAATCCAAGCACTTTGGGAGGCCAAGGCCCACAGATCATTTGAGCTCAGGAGTTTGAGACTAGCCTGGGCAACTTGGTGAGACCCTGTCTCTACACAAGATACAAGCAAAATTAGCCGGGTATGGTGGCAGGCACCTGTAGTCCCAGCTATTTGGGAGGCTGAGGTGGGAAGACTGCTTGAGCCCAGAAGGGTGAGGCTGCAGTGAGCCATGATCAGGCCACTGCACTCCAGCCTGGACAACAGAGCAAGATCCTGTCTCAAAAAAACAAAACAAAACAAAACAAAAAAGAGAGAGAGAGAAATGAAGACTGGTGACTGGTGGCTACTGGTGGGAAGGAGATTTTTACTACATGCCCAAAAGGTTTAAAATGGTAACTTTTTTATTTTAAAGTCTGTGAAGATAAATGACAGAAAAGAGCACATACCTTCCCATTTATTTGAAATTCTAGAAAGGGGAAAATTAATCTGTGGTGAAAAAATCATAACAGTGGTTCCCTCTGGCAGGGGATTGACTGGGAAGGTACATGAGAGAAATTTCTGGGTGGTAAAAATGGTCTCTGTCTTTATAGGGATATGAATTATGTAAGTGTATTCATTTGTCAAAAAACATACAGTTAACACTTCAATGAATGTAAATTTTTACCTTAAAAACTATAAGAATAAATACAAATTTAAAATCTACTGGCTAACCCCTAGTTGAGTACTCAATGTCTATGGGTATCGGCCAAGGCTATACATACTCGATTTTGTTTAGTCCTCATACCTTCCTCAAGGGGTAGGTATTATTACCATAATCCCCTTGCATATGAAGAAGCCAAAATGTAGTAAATACCAAATAACTTGCCTCGATTTATACCCCTGGAAAATGGTGGAAGAGCTTTAAACACCATCAGTCAAATGCCAGAAGTTGTTAAACATTAGACCCTATAGCACTTCTCTGAAATTATAGTATTTTTGATATATACATACATCTATATGTGTGTATATATATACATCTCATCTACTAGATCAACAGCTTCACAATGATTGAAATCATAGTTTGTCTTTTTGTTTGTTTGAGGTTTATGTTTTTATTTCATTACTTTAAAGACTGAGTCTCAGCCGAGCATGGTGGCTCACGTCTGTAATCCCAACACTTTGGGAGGCCAAGGTGGGTGGATCACTTGAGGTCCGGAGTTTGAGACCAGCCTGGCCAACATGGTGACACCCCATCTCTACTAAAAATACAAAATTAGCCAGGTGTGGTGGCACGTGCCTGTAATCCCAGTTACTCGGGAGGCTAAGGCAGGAGAATCGCTCAAACCTGGGAGGTGGAGGTTGCAGTGAGCCAAAATTGTGCCATTGCACTCCAGCCTGGGCAACAGAGTGAGACTCCATCTCAGAAAAAAAAAAGAAAAGGCTGAGTCTCACTCTGTTGCCCAGACTGGACTTGGATTCCTTAATTCAAGCCATCCACCTGCCTAGGCTTCACCTGGGACTACAGGCTCAATATTTTTGTCTTAAGTTTCTAAGCAGTCCCAACACTTTGCACAGTAGCTGTTCAATGTATTTTGAGTAAATGATTAAAAACAAGCTTGATGTTGATTTTATTGGTACAGTTTATATTTATATATGTAATATTTATATTATATGCTTTTATATATTTATATGTGTGTGTATGTGTATAATTGGTACTAACTTAGCACTGCTGTGCTTAACTGCCTGAGATGCATCTCAAATGAATAGGCCTGAGGAGAGAAGCTTGTGTCATTAGCTCTGACCCTGCAACACTAATTCTGGTTTACCCCTTTCTTTCAGTCTCCCTGAGCACATCAATTTATTGGCTGAAAGAGCTTACACTTTAACATCTCACCAAAATAGCTCATTCTAACCAAGAAAGAGGAAACTCTAACTTCTACCAAGTGCTTGATCATTTGCATAAGTGAAATTTCACTGTGTGAGTTTCACCCAACACCACCTCTGCTCCAGCTCCTGCTACTCTACTGCTCATACCCTGGAACTCCACACGTGGAGTAGAAGACGGAGGATGCAGGGTGCAGGAGGCAGCAGCATCCTCCTCAGAGGTTTTATTTGCAGTAAATTCAGGTGCGGCAGGCAAAGCAACAAGGAGTCAAGGTGAGGCAGGAGAATAGCAGAGGGAACTGGGAATTGAATAAAGGTCAAAATGAGTAGGAGCAGAAGCAGGATAAAGAAGTGGGTGAGCATGAAACAAAATAAGCAGAAGTTGAACAGCGAAAACAAAAGTGAGATAAGAGTAGTGACTAAAAAGCTTATGGCTGGCAAGATCCAGAGCAAACCAGTAAGAGGCAGCTCCTCAGAGATAGGCATGTGTATGAGAGAGAAAAATTAGCTTTAAAATGACCCCAGATGATAATCATCTCATTAAAGCTAATGCATATACACTGCATATAATAGATGTACTTAAAACTATGGGATGGAGGCAATGTGGAAGCTCACAGGGGCCAAAGTAACTAAGCAACCCACCTATCAATCAGAGGGCACATGCTGGGTAGAGATTAGGCAGCCCCAGGAAAAGGAGAAAAAAAAAAAAGTGTAAAAAGACCCAAAGCCCAAAGTTCACCAAACTTACGCTGATCTCATTTTGCAGAGATCAGCCCATCCTCCCCTCTCTGAGAGTGTTACTGTGCTTAATGAGTCTTTTGCTGCTTTGCTGTGTGTGTCATGTCCAATTCTTTAAGATACCAAGAACCTGGGACTTCACAACACCAGCCAGTAACAAAGGTATGTAAGCTTGGGAGGGAGGAAAGAAAGGGGAAGGGGGCTAGAGGAGATTCAGACATGAGATGCATTCACCCTGTAAGTTGAACCCTGGTCTCCAGCGTGGGTGTTGACAGTTGTATTACTGAACCATCAATGTTCCATGTGCTATAACCTCTCATGGGTGTAAAAACAAACAAAACAAAACAAAAAAACAACTCTAGTGTTATGGGCAGGCATGAAGGGGCGGGGGATGGAGGTGGGAATGTTCTATAATAGGCTTACACAGATGTCTTTGGAAAAGAGAGCCAACAAAGCAACATGCACTTAAAGCAAAGGCTTGTCCTAAACTTTCTGTTGTTTGCCAAGGGAAGAAATCTTGGCTTGGAGTGAAATTTTCACTTCCTCTCTTGTGTAGATCTCTGTAAGACCTAAAAGCTTGGAAGACAGTCATTTTGATCCTTGGACTTTTCTAGAGACTCAAAAGATGCATCTGAACATGACTCCTGGAGTGGCCAAAGAGAGTATG